AGGCATTCAGTTTGGAATGCCTAATTCGTTCCTATTCAGACCCAGGAAATGATTTGACAGTACACAGAACACTATGTTTTTATACAGTTTTAAGTCTGAAGTTTGTTGGAACATGAATACTAGACTAAGCAGAATCCCAACAGTACTAAAAACTGATTTGGTTTATGTTGGAACCAACTTCTACTTATATGTATCTAATAATAATGCCTTAAATACACATCCTTTCATAAAGACAAAATATTATCTTTTAGCGATTGTGATATAACATTAATTGCTGTGTTGGAAAAATTGAGAACTCTAAATATCAAAAAACCTCCAGGACCAGACATTGTTGTCCTAGATGCTACTGAAATATTGTATATTTTCCTTGGCGAAACCAATCTATGATTTTTTAAATATATCGTTACAAACTAGCATTTATCTGTCATTAATAATAAAGTAGCATAAATTATTATTCATCAGTAACATTAAAAAAGGAATATCAACATTTACTAATTTGCTTCTAGTACGTGTTAGAAGTCATAGATACTAAACATCCAGTTATTGGAGTATATAGTGATTATTCTTAGGCATTCGACAGTGTCAATCATGTAATTCTATGTAATAAACTACATGCGCTTGGAATCCATGGATTATTGTTGGATTTGTTGTCATAATATTTTAACAAATAGGTTGCAAGTAATAAAAATTAATGGCCGTATGTCTAAACAAAATTAAGACTCCTCTAGTGTACCTCATTTAGGCCCTTTGTTATTTAATATATTTATCAATGATATTGCCAGAGTATTCGTTATGTAAATATTTACTATTTGCTATTAGTCATCTACAAGATTTTATTAAAGTTCAAAATAATCTTGATACATTACATGAGTGGCTTCGGATCATTCAATTAGTTTTAAATATCAACAAATGTAAATACCTGATGTTTATTAGACTTGAAACAACTCAAGCTCTATATCCACAATTTACATATTGCAGGAATATTTTTAGAAATATTAGATAGTATACTGGATCTTAGGGTGATCGTTGACAGTAGGATGGACTTTAGGAAACATTATGAATATATTTAAAATAGAGTATTCAAGATGACAGGGTTTATTAATAGGCATACAATTGAATCACCAACTTGAATACCTTAAAATATTTGTATCTCACCCTATTTGGACCAATTCTTGAACGTACAGCAGTTGTTTAGTGTCTCCAATCTATCAAAACCATATAGCAACCTTAGAAAGAGTAAAGATCAATTTTTAAAATATATTTTTTCTTCTAAGTTAAATATCTCATCAAAAAACTGAGCTACATAAATAATACAATTTATGCAAATTCAAGAATTGGATAAACAAAGATATGGAGTTGATATACTATTCTTATATTAATAAAAATTAAATTAGGAGATTGCAAAAACTTAAAAATAACAATTATGTCAAAAGATATACATTGGCTTTCAGTTCAGAATTATGTCCATTGTCCAGTACCTGAATTTGATATTTATTTACAAAAATTAAAAATTACTCGGTACCATCAAAACTATTAGAAAAAAAGTCAATATAATTTTCAATATCATAAATACAATACAAGAAGCTGATCTGACTTGTATGTACGGGAAGCTATCACTAAAAGTTCCTAAAATACAATTTTTATTAAAGGTTTAATTAAGAGTTTAATTGACTGTCTACAGAAATTAAAAACGAAACATTAATAAATGTATTCAAAAGTAACCTCTAACAATACTTGATAAATAAACAGAAAGGAGATAATTTCTTGTGATAATGTTCTTTAAACCTGCCCTTTTTAATATTTATTTTAAATTTAGTTGTTGATGTTATATTTTACTTTAAATTATTTCTATATTTTATTTTTTATATGCATATTTAACTACTAATGTAAATTAGCAGTTACTAAATAAAGGATTAATATACTTTGGTATGTAAAGGTTTTGTAATACGATATGGTTGTATTTACATGGTTGTCCGATCTTTTGGTTTTCTGAAAATATAATAAACTTTGTTATTGTAAATGGATCACCCCATATATTTTTTGGTATAGGGAACATTACAAGTAAAAATAATCAGTATTAAGGCTTACAAAAAACAAAAAATATACAGGGTGGTCCATTTGAAATTATGTTTCCAGAAAACCGAAAGATCTGACAACACTGTTAATACAACCATAATATCGGCCACATTACAAAACCTTTAGATATCAAAGTATATAAAATATTTGCAAGCTGTTACCGAGATAATTGATGCGTTCCATACTTAAAACTCACTGTGTATATTTAAAACCCGTAATAATTTCATCAAATGTCATGAATTACTGTCTATGATTTATCTTCAAGTACCACCCTGTAATTTTAGAAACACATTGTTAGCCATTCCTTTTCATATAACTATAATTATGTAATAATCTGTTGTCATAAAACGGCCTTTTTTAAGAATTCAATAAAATTGAAATATAAGATTAATGAAAGTGTCGTTTACGTAACTAAAAAAAAAATTAAATTTTTTGGTCGTCTGTGAAACGAGATATTAACAATCAAAATGTGCATAATTAACACTCTTGAAGCCTGTCATGTACACAAGCAATGCATTTATTTCAAGATATCTCGAAAACGATTCTTGCCATATATTTTAAAAACTAATGTAACGTAAATCAAGAAGTTATAAAATTTTCTAAAGAAATAAAAATATTTTTAAAGCAGTTGATGCGTAGTTGCGTAAAATTATTACAACTTGGCAACATTGTAATCACTACACGTAACAAAATAACACTCAATCAGCTAAGAGGTTGTTATAACCTTGCGACGTGTTCTTGAAAAATTAATTCGTCCACTGTGTTTGAGAACTGGAATCAGCGATTCTGTTTGAACCAAAACAGACCCTTAAAATTAGTATGAGAAGTCACAAATTTCTATAGCATACCGTTCATATATTTGCGAGGTTGCCGGATGGATTTTATTAAAGTTATAACATATCCATATGTGTTTATATACTGGGTCTTCAACAATACCGAAAACCCACGTGACCAAATCGTTATGACAGCGATTGGTGAAAATAAAAGTAAAAATCCCTAAATTTGAGCCAGTGCCGTAGGTATTTTATTACAAATAGAAAATAGATCTTCTTTTTTTATGGTCTGCAACTACGAGAACAAAATTCAGTTAGGTAACTGTTAGAATTACAACACAAATTCATAATATTAATTAGAGGTGCTTTACATTATTGTATTTTAATGTTAGAATTCGATATTTTAATTAGATTTAATCAAATTCAATAATCTAATTTTTAAAATTATGATATAAATAACATAACCTTAAAAACTGAGCTGTTTATATCTAGTTTGTATTTAACGAAAAGAATAATAAACTGAAATATGGTTCGTACTAGTTATTGTCACTACTACAAAAAAAAACCTTTACCAGAACAGGGCACAAAAAAGTTATGGATAAAAATGTTATGCATTAAAATATGAATAAAATTTAAAATTATTTACTTTAGATTGACTCTTTAAGGGTTGATTCCACCGTTGTGTTAAACGGAGATTAAAATGACATTGTTAATGTAAAAATGTCATTTTAAACTTCGTTTAACACAACGGTGGAATCGGTCCTAAGATATTTAGCTACAGCTGAAACTCTAAATACGATAGGCAGAAGACAATGGCAGTATTTGGCAATTATTGCAATTTAAGTAAACAAATTTAAGACTTACTGGAATTGAACCTGGATAATGGGAAGTAATAAACACATAATTTAAGTTTGTTCTATTATTTATTTGTTACAGGATTTACAAAATACATTGTTACTTATATGCATACAAAAAAATATTAATATTATTAATATAACAAGCACATATTTGTTTTACCTTACAGCTCTTACTTCTCACTTTAAATTATAAAGGCATATCTATTAACAACTATTTTATTTAAAAGGATATTGAGTAGTAATCGGTGGTGCACAAACTAATTCACAGTACCTATCTGTTTAAAATCTTAATCACCAGCTTTAATGCAAGCATTAAACCTTCTTTTTTGAACACATTATGCAGTTTCTCCTCAGTTATATTTTGTATATCATTCAATATAGGTGCTCCAATTCATAAACGTCACAAACGATTTTGATTTATTGGGAATTTACAACATGTTAATTTGCACATCTTCAACAGCTTTTGTTATTACTTTGGGCATTTTAGACCTTTTTCCTTTTTTGAACAAGTATTTGTTTATGACGACAAAAAAGAATCACATTCCATTTATTCACCTGGAAAACGTTCCTCAAATTTTCGAATAATTTTGTTCCAGTATAACATTACCTACAATAAATTATATAGTCATTAACTTTTACGAGTTACAGTAAATAAATTTGTACTTACCAACAAAAAAGAAGCCACCAATATTCTCTAAAAATAACTAATTGCTTTATTAATATTAAATGAAAAATGGACTAAGGGTGTTTATAAAATGTAAACAAATATAATATAAATATTGTCAGTCCCCAAATGAACGCCAGGGACATTTCTGACAGGATTGACAGTTCAGTTTAGTTCCTTTTACGTCAAATCAGGCCCTTTCTATGGGTTTTTGATGGTTATCAGATCACGTGGGTTTCGGGTATTGTTGAAGACCTGGTACATGTGTTTTGTACACTCTCTTACAAAAATAAAATTGATCAGCATTGAGAATCTCGAACTTTTTTTATGCGATATTTTTATGTACGACTGTCGCGAGTGAACTACCTTAAATATAAATTGCATAGTAGTACTAGTTATGCAGTAGTACTATTGTTTACTCTATATTATTCTTTTTTTAACTTAATTTTTATCTATTGTAAAAACTCCATATGGATATTACCCCTGTATAATTAATTATAAATAAATAAACTGTCGCCACTAAATTTAGAGATCCAGGTGATCCGTCGGGTAAACACAGTAATCTGGATTTGTAATCTATGGCAGGTTTCCGAAAATGCTCTTTGCTGATTAGTTCTTTTTCTGTTTTAGCTAAGAAATATGACGTTTGGAGTAGCAGATCTCAAGAAGAAAGCCTGGCTGCTACCCTTGATAACTGTGATGTAGTCAAACGTGACAGGTCAAGAGATGTTGAGTCATATGATTTCACCTTAGCTCATAAATATTATAATAATGAATTAGACATCAATAGGTTTAGTAAAGTTGACAGAAAAAATAACAAGCGAACAAGAGATGATAGAAATAATAAAACTTTTCGACAGAGACAAAGATCACCCAGTGCTGGTAGTGAAGTCAAGGGTGAACCTAGGATGATTTCTAACCTAACTGTAGATAAAAATAGTGTGGCAGAAGATATTGCAAATGATATTGCTTGCAAATTAAGTGAAGAAAAGACAGAATTAATTTGTAAGTGTTAATTAGATTTATTTCTTTACAGAAATCCAATAGGTATATTATTAATAAAAAGAAGTATACTATTATTTAAATTAAGTACCTAAAATACTACAGGTTTTAGTTTAAACCTAACTTTTTTTATGTGAATTTCACTCACAAAAGTGTAGTTTAAAATTTTACAAATGGCAGAAATACAACAATAAAATTGTAGGAGATAGGTGAGGTACCTATGTAATAATGTGCATACTAATGCACTAATGTGAATATTTTAATATTTGACAGCATTGTTGTCATTTTGTAATATTTAGAAATACTTGCAATTTTACCACTGAATATGCATTTTGTGTTGGTTTTAACTGTAGTTTTGTGTGTGTTATTAATTATGAAGTGTTTTTATTGTAACTTTTCCACCGCTAACATGGGTGGAAAAGGTTCTTAAACTACTATTGTGGCCTATTCTGTAGCAAACCAAGGAAATCGTGCATGGTAATACATCACAGAATCACTCAGTTTTAATATTGTTATTATATTCAATAAGTTTTAAAGGATGTTTACATTATTTGTGATAATATGGGTTTATTTATTTGACTCTCAATTTAAAAATGCATATAAATAATAAACTCATAATGTACATAAAATATGTATAAGTATATTTATTGATATATCAATTATTGATATATCAATTATTGATATATCAATTATTGATATATCAATTTTCCAAATTTTTTAAGACTCAAAGGGGGTGCTCTTAAAAATTTACAAATAACTTTTACCTAATTTAATAATAAAAAAGAAATTAAAATTTTCCAGACTTCTTTTCTCAATTTCTCACTAGCTTCTTGTTTCCGCTTACTTTGTCGCCTGTGCCTGTAGAGAGATACAGCTCCCTCTCTTAACTCTCCATCCTGCTAACCTCAGCTTAAAATACATAAAATTATACTTTTAATTCATTGTCTTTATTTTATGTCTTCAACTCAACAATTCAAATATCATTTCTATAAATCTGTTTTCTTTATATCTAATACATTTTTTTATTTTATCTGACTTTCTCCTGACAATTCATTCCTATCTAACAATTTCCAAAATCAACAACCCCCTAACATTCTGATTTTTTACTTTAATATTGATTTCTAGAACTTCACTCCAATATAATTCAATTTCGATAAACATTTTGATGACTTCAGAATTTCTATATCAAATCCTCAAAATTCATTGTTCACCCAGTATATCGCTAAAATATACTGTGAAAAATGAATTTCAAAATTTCAAATTTTTAACCAAAATATTCAAATTCCCTCGATTGGTCATATTTTCCACATTTGAAATATCGATTTCACTCATTTTTTTTTATTCATTCAATACAAACTATAAATATTAGTTAAAATATCTAATTGAGCTTACATGGGTTCGTATACATCTTGAAAAAGAGAGATTCAACATAGGGGTTGTTGAAATAGACATTTTAGTCGTTTCCACCACTAGCGCACAAAACAACACCAATCATCTTTGAGTAGTGGGGTACTACGGCTGTGAGTACTGAATTCGAGTAACTGATCGGGAACCGCTCCGTGTCGCGGAAATACGTGGTAGTCTAAAACCCGATCAGAGAGATAGGGAAATATTTTATAATTCTACAGGTTAGAGTTACAATTAAGTCGCGCAGGTGGATTTTAATTTTCAAAATCCAACAGTTATTCTATATAATACCTTTATGTTTCTTTTTCCTGATTCTATATGATTTCATTTCTCCTTTATCTTGTTTTAATTTTCTCTATTACTTTCTTCTTCCATTTCTAATTTTATCCCTTCTACTTCATTTCAACTTCCTTTGCTTCTAGATTTATTTCTTCTTTATTGAATTCTAAGTTTTCATTTTTATATTTTTCTAATTTGCATCTTTCATTTTCTTTCTTCTCTCATTTTCTTTCTTTCTTTACTATATGTTACTATCATTTCGTCTATCTTCTTATTATTTCTTCTTTATCTTTCATCCATTTTCATACTGTTTTCCTCTAATTTATCCATTTCCCTTCAGTTCTCATCCAATCTTCCTTATCTTCATTTCTATTTTTATTCATTCCAATGAGCTTTTGCATTAGATCTTCCAACTTTATTCCTTCTTTCTTTCCTTGAGTCTCGACAATCTCCTTTCCTAACGTAAATTCATAAATTATTTTAAAATTAGTTATTTTATATTAACCTAAAATAATTTTTAAAATTTTTATATTTTCGTTAGTGGGTTGTAGTACAACTCGAGTGGATTGTCCATATTACATTCAGTCAAACTTCGTCTTCATGCGATGTAGCCATCATATCCACTCTTGTTTCACAAACTACTATTTTCCTCACCCACATGGATATTAACTTATCTACGCACAGATTACAAAACGAAAAAGTATGCTATTGCCTTCAACTGAACGAATTTATTTCATATCCATTCTAGATAGTGAGAACACTGCAAAAAAATGAAATCCACCAATTACTGTGCATATTTTGATCAACCGACTGCTATTATTTTTTAAATTTTAAATAAGTGGCAATTCTGTTAAACTAATTGTCAGTATATTTTTTAGTTTTGAGATTAAACATACTTTAAAATGGGTTATTCTTGTGTAGAATCGATATATAATTCTGTTTTTATTTCGTCTATAATTATAAATAATTTGTTAATTTAAATAAAACTATATGAAGTCAATTAAAGAAAAAAAAAATTAAACGAATAGATGGTCCTGTGGTCAGCGTTCTTGCCTTCCACACGAAAGACTCGAGTTCGATTCTCGGATGGGGAAAAATGAATTGAACTTTTTTTTTAGTTTATTTTGTTTTAAAAATTATTAAAAGTCATAAAATTTTAAAATTAGTTATTTTGACTTAATAACCTAAAATATTTTTTTATTTGTAAACTTTTGTTAGTGGGTCGTAGAAAAAATATACTGTACAACTCAAGCGGGTTGTCCACATCGCACTCGGACGATTGAGCACTCCGTCTTCGTGCGATATGGCCATCATCTCCACTCTTGTTGCACAAACTACTATTGTCAGTTCCTAATAATTTGATTTTAAGTATTAAGTATGTTTTATCCCGCTAGAGGGCGCTAAAATCAAAAGTAACGGAACGAACGGTAAACATTTCCTTTCCGATTATGTGTCTTCTACTTGGTACTTTCCCTATTTAAATTGTATTGGTTAAAGTGATGGAGGGGAAAGGACTGACATATGACAGTTGATGATATCATAGAAAGGTGCCCCCCTTCAAATTAAAACCGACTTGTTTCTGCGATCTAAAGCTAATCTAGTATTTCTGAGCTTTGGCCGGTCGCTACCCTTAATGAAACACCCTGTACAATACACAGAGGGGATTTTAACTTCGACAAATAAATGACCACCTAGATATATTAAAATTAATAACATACATGATAATTCTTTTCATTTTTTTTTCTTATTTACTTATTAAATACAGTTTGATTTCTTGCGAAATTTACATATCTTTAATACAATGCCATATTTATTTTGATAAAGTGCAAATTTTTAGCAATTATTTCAATACCTAAAGCATGAATGTATGACTTTTACAAAATTGAAAATTTGCACATTCATGGTTTTGGCATTGTACGATATTTTATCCTAATAAACAGTCTTTGTTTGGAGTTGTGTAATAATTGCCCTTTTTGGAATGTCTTAAACACCTCTTGCTTAAATATCCTGTAATTCTTTTAAGTACGTTTTTACCTTCACAAACTGTAAACATTGTATTTGCTTCAGATATGCTAACATTTCAAATTATGTCAATTATTTTGAGTCAGCACTGTACCATAACACAAAATGTTTGAAATAAAACATTCATATATAAATAAATTTATAATTCAAATAAAAAGTAATTCATCCGAAATTTTATGGAAATACTTCCATAATTTTTCCTTGGGATAGGAGAGCACATATAACATTAATGCTAAATATATTACAATGGTTACCTGTTAAAAATTATATGATGCCTCGGCGAAGTAAATAAGATATATATAGTATTTTTAATACAAATCCCGATGCACGTCAGAGATCATTTATGACGTCACGGCCTGCAGTGTTGCCTAATCTTTAGAATAGTCGAGGAATTTAGAATTTTTAAAAATTGTAAGGTTATGTATTTGTTATGTTACTAGTAGGAACAATTAGTTTTGAATATATATAACTAATGGAAAATATTGAAGTCCTTTATGAATAATAAACATCTGAACAAAAAAGCTTTAAACATATTATGCACGTCATGGAAAATAAAACTGTAAGGTAGTATATTGCAGATGGATCAAAATTGGTTTAGAATTAGCACAGAAAATATCTAAAACTAATTTAGTTTCACCAAGAATGTTATTTAGCAGAACTACATTTAAGTTATAAACCACAACACCCCATAAAATTAAAGAGGTCATGGAAAAAATGAAAACTACAAAGGCATGTGGAGGATTCATAATATCAGTAGATACCTATACTTAAAGAATTAAAGTTTGAAATTGCTAAAATATTTGAATACAAGAAGGAAATTGTTAAAATATTTGAATACAAGAAGGATATTGTTAAAATATTTGAGTAGGTGCTTTAGTAAATCTCACTTTCAGTAACGGTTTTGTAGCTCAAGTATTCAAGATAGCCAGAAATGCTTCAAAAATAAAGGGATATCACTACTTCTTTTCAACTCTAAAGTTATCGAAACATGTATGAACAATAGATGCATCACTCAAACATCAAGATTCTCCATTCTACCAGTTTCAAAAGACATTTGAAAAATGTTATTCTGTCAAATATTTTTTTTATATTTTGGAATAAATTAAATAAAAATACAGATATATAAGAAATATATCAAACTGTTTATTGTTTTAAAAATTAGACAATGTTTTTTTTTTAAGTACACTATTTTCTCATAAAAAAACAATTATTCATCTACTAATCTTCATTATTCCTATTAAACTTCTTTTATTTCTCCTAATCCAGATCGCAAGTATTTGAATCGCAGTCATCGA